CAACGGAAAGTAACTGCTACAAATTAAATTTACTTGACAGTTTTTTTTACTTATAACACCTTTTTTAAAGTCTTCTTGGGGGCAACCAAGTTTTACTTAAATGGTTATTACTTTATAGTAACCATTTAAGGAAAGAATAAAGTTTCTGTTACAAAATATTGCTATTTAAAAGTTAGAATTACTTTTAAGTAAAAATTAAAGTAGCTGTTTAGTATACTTAACTAATTTAGTTATCACCACTTTGGTAATGGTTTTTGGAACCAAAAATGCTGCTTGGGTTGGCCTTACCGTACATGAAATCCATGTTGACCATTTATTGGAAAGTGTGATTTAGCATTTTTGTTAGAAGTTACAGTTTGTTCTGATCTATGTTATGACAAAGGATTTGACAAATGTAACCACTGACAAAATAACTATATTATGATGTTGTTCTATTGCCTATTAGTATACTAATTCGCTTCCCAGTGAACCAAACCGTGACTTATGACCTAAAATTTACGTAACACGTAGATCATATCTAGGTAATACAATTTTTACGTCATAGTGACATAATACTGACCCAAAACGTGACTTTTATATGATGTAATTAAATGACTTACATATTACGTACATCTTATGTAATATTAAAGTCATATCGTGACGTAATATTAAAGTCACTTTTCTTACGTAAGACTGACATAAGAAATCTGTCATAATATTACATAACTTTTAGGTCACTGTCTTACGTAAGACTGACGTAATAAATCTGTCATAATATTACCTAAGTGTAAGGTCACTTTCTTACGTAAGGCTGACGTAAGAAATACGTCATACTATTACATACGTTTTAGGTCACTTTCTTACGTAAGACTGACGTAAGAAATCTGTCATACCATTACATAAGTTTAAGGTCACTTTGTAAGGTAAGACTGACATAAGAAATCTGCCATACATATTATTTAGACGAACTAGATGCAAAAGTAATTTCGAAGTATGAAATTCACTGTATTTTAATGTTTGAATTAAACTAATTTCAATGAATGGACTTTTATTTTCAATGAGTGAAATAGTCAAACATAATTTTTATTTTTTATTGATTGAAATGGTTAATTCAAACATTGAGTAAAATAACGTAAGTAAATTCTATTAATTGAAATTGACGCCGATTATTTTAAACAATAAAATCAGTGGATATATCCAGTATACTTTTCCTTACCAATGAGTTTAATTCAAACATTAAAATACACCAAATTTCATATTTTAAAATTACTTTTGCATCTAGCATGATGAAAGAAATAACGCGAAGTTCCTTGAATTTTTTGGCTACTTATAAGTAGCCAAAAAATATAGTACTTGGTCGATTAAATGAAAATATGGTTTAAAACCAATCAAAAAATAATGTATCTTAATTTAATATGTAATAACCATCATAATATATTATAGATTTTTATGATTCCGGTTCCTACTGCTTTATGACGTAAAAAATTTTGAAAATAGCGTCGTACTTTCAAAAGTACACATTTTATTCAATGGTCATGTGAAAAATCATGTAGGTATGATTAATCATGGTTGCAAGTACTTGCAAGTACCTACTTATTTTTTAAATTGTAAAAAATTATCAACAAAAGATTTACGTGTTATTACGTGTTAACTTGTTATTTTTGTATTGTATGTTACTGTTATTATTTTTTGAAAATGGCGCTTTTGGTGAAAGTGGAATTTTTTTGTTCCACCCTGTACAATCGAAAAAATAAGTAGTTACGCTTTCAAAGACCTGAAATGATATTTCACTCACTTCAAATTTTTTTAAATGTGACCTTGGCAGTACGACGTCATTTGTTTTTTTAAACGCTGTGGCTCCCGTCCCGAGGCGGGACTTAAGTTCAGTCCCGATTGACGTCATAATTTTAAGATTTGTTATGTTATAATAAAATAATAATAATAAATTGTACCTGTATACATGTTAAGGGCACTTTAGTTACGTCATAAAACCAAACCAACCCAAACTCAACAACACAACCCAACCGACCCCGCCCCATTGGGCCCCCCCTGCCCCATTGAGCAAAAAACCCAACTAAAATGGGCAAATTTATGTTACGATAAAAATAAAACACTTTTTAACAAAGAAACAACAAATTTATAAAATAAAAAAAATAAAAAAAGTTTGACAACTTCTAGTGGGATCGAACCCGGTACCTCTCACATGCCAAGCGACCGCCCTACCATCTAAGCCATCGAGCTTAACACAAATTATAAAATCTCGGGGAATAAAAACCGATTTACAGTGTGTGACGTCAATCGGGACTGAACTTAAGTCCCGCCTCGGGACGGGAGCCACATCGTTTTTTAAATCCATGCATGTCAAAAAATGTTAGGTACCTATTAAAATACTAAAATTTTAAATTTCTAAAATAAAAATAATTTTTAAATGTTGAATATTGTCCCTAGCTATAGCTATAGCTACTCATAAAAAGCGATTTTTTTTTGTTCTTACTTCTGACATACCCTGTAAAGAATCTGAAAAATTAGTAGTTGGTTCAAAATCCATTGTGAGTTGGTTTTGATCAGCTTCATAAATTAGATAAAGTATCAGCTTGCAATAAATACCTTTTCGGTAATGATTCCATTTCCCATTGAAAAAAATGTGACCTTTTGACAGTACGACGCCATTTTAGAAATTTTTCAAAATTGCTTTAAGTCTAAAAGTAGTACCCAGAGTACCCTTGTCTCTGGTAGTACCTATATATTTAATGCCTTGTTTAACATACTAAAATTTCAATTTCCAAATACAGAGGTTCAAAAAATAAAACTATAAAAAATAATACAACCAAATTTAAAGAATTTAATATTATAATATAATATGGTATAATTATATATTAATATAATACCTATAATAATAGATAGGTATTTGCACAATAATGTTGGTATTAGTATATTTTTAAAATTTAAAAAATAATAAATAAAAGAAATGAAATTGACAAACGAAATTATTTAAGTACACAGAATATTTAGTATTAATAATTAAGAAACCAAGAGATTTTTAAAAATATATGTAAACTATTAAAGAATTTTTCATTGATAAAAAATTTTTATAATAATATTATAATATATAAGGGTAAAGTTGTCAAATAACATTGATATATTAATTGTTAACAGTTGCAATATGCAGTAAGGTTGCCTATGATAAGTAGGCATCTACTATAATATAGTAGAAATCTACTTATCATAGGCAACCATTATTGCATAATACATCTCGCTTATGTGGCACTATTCGTTAAGTATATAAGTTGACACTGGCTGCATTGCAATTTGAGATTTAGGAATCCGTACCTCGGCAAATAACGAGTCACGAATTGTGGCCTTACGATAATTTAGCTTTTTCAGTGGAATTCTTTGTTGGAGCCAGGATTGTTCCGTCTGGATCGTCATGAAATTTCCGTGGCCCTCTGCTTAAACAGTGCCTGCTTTGCAAGGCCAAAGCCGCGAACCCAAAATTTCACTCATTTATCGTCAAGAGGGAACTGATTTCAGCCAAGTGAGCTGTTTCAGTATTTACATATTTTGCCCCATGATGAAAAATAAGGAGGTCATATTTATGTCACATTTATTACGTAAATATTATGTAATAGTATGATGTCAGTGTTACATCAAGATGTTTACGTCAGAGTCTGACGTAAGAAAGTGTGAAATAATGACTCTTGTATGACTCAAGTGTGACCTATATCTTACGTAAGCGTGACTTGACATGACGTCATATTTACGTCATATTTACGTAATTGTGTTTACTGGGTTGTTATTTTTTGTTGCAAGACATTTTTAATAGCTTTTTCTCGAAGACGGTTGGCTCCTTGACTTTGTTACAATAGCACTTTTTTACGTAAAATTATCTGAAGAACTGTATTCCAAGATCGAGAATAAAAAAAAAACAAATAAAAAAATGAGGATTTTTTGACCCGAGTAGCCCCTGTTTTGCACGCCTATGGTCATCATTTTTGAGATTTGACGCCATCAGATGATTTCTTGCTCAAAAAATACCCCAGAAATAAAGCATGATTATTTTTGGACCAACCGGTTGCAACCGTTTCAGAAATAATTAATTAAAACGTGATTTTGCGAAACAGTTTAAAATGCCTATAGCGCCCCCAGGAGGCATTCTCGGACATCTGTTTATAGAAACTTTTTTTATTTTTTCGTGTAAAACTCAAGATGCATTTTTTTATCTGTAAAGGCCAGGAAACGGTGAGTTTTTGCCATTTTCCCAACATTTTATCAAAATGGATATATCCAATATATTGCCGGTTTTGCACGGATGCTCCTCAATTAAGTAGGTATTATAAGTAGTAAACCATGGCCTAGGGCGCCGCGAAGCGAATAGGCGCAATTTAGGTTGAATATTAATATAAATCAATTAAAATAATTAATTATAATTTTTAAACGTGTAATACCCTTTTTATTTTAAAAGCAAATTCGGAAATAATAACGTCGTTGATAATGCAAAAGGTCGTGTCACGCCTTTCTGTAGAAGAGAAATAACCCACAAAAAATAAAAAAATCGGGATATATGTATGGGTTAATTATCTCGATTTTTTTAATTTTTGTGGGTTGGTTCCCTTGTGTAGAAAGGCGTCAAAGTGACCTTTTGCAGTATTAACGAATAAAAATGTTATAGGTAAAATTCTGTTTTAGGTTATTTAAAAATTGTCAAAATTAAGTTAGTTCTTCATAGGTTTTTCTTTTCTTTTTTCTTATTTTTCTTTATACAAATATTTTTTTTAAATTTGTTTTATTGTAATTTTTTTATAAAACCCTACTTGTCCCCCTATGTGCACCCCTTTCGGCTAACATGTATTGTGTTATATATAGGTACTAATATGGGCTGTAATTATAAGCGCCATTATTATTGGCCTAGGGCGACAAATTGTCTTAATCCGGCCCTGCTAAAAATATGACTTCTTGATTTGAATATTGTAATTAATTCGACACCACTTTATAATATATTTAATAATAATTTGTTTGCCTAGAAGGGTTTATGGTGAAGACAAGAGACCTCCAAAAAGACTGTTCACCCCTGAAATCAAGAAATATCTGAAGGATTGGTTAGTACGAAGAAGGGAAAATCCATACCCCAACAGAGACGAGAAAAAAATGCTTGCTGTTCAAACCGGACTCACTTACATCCAGGTAAATCCAAATAAATAATAGTATATTATGTATCAAGTTTGATAAACGCCATTTTAGTCACGAATATAATTTAGGCACGAGCGAGTGCTTAGTTAAATGAGTGCATATACAAGATTATAAACGAGTTGCATACTATACTTTTTCTACGACAAATACTTATCTTACAAATTATTTAAATTAAATATTTGTATAAAGCGACATCTATACGAAAATAAAGAAACCATCCCAATAAACATTTTTGACGTAATTTTTACCATTAACATTGCCCGTTAATATTTTTATTAAACTTAACAATTATTGATACTTTAAAATATTAAAATAACTTCAAAATATGATTATGTTAAGAAAATATTTTATCCTTTGATCTTTTTATTACTATAGTTGCAAAATATTATTACAAATTATTAAAAATTCTAACACGGGAAATGTTAAAGGTACAAAAAGTGACAATGGAATTCCCGTTAGAATTTCTATCTTTAAAATCTATCTCAAATTTTTCTGTGTAAATCGAATTTTTTTTCTTTCATTTTTGGCCATTTTGTTGATTTTTGCTAATTTCGGTGATAAATGATATGATAAGAAAATATTTTATCCTTTGATCTTTTTATTACTATAGTTGCAAAATATTATTACAAATTATTAAAAATTCTTACACGGGAAATGTTAAAGGTACAAAAAGTGACAATGGAATTCCCGTTAGAATTTCTATCTTTAAAATCTATCTCAAATTTTTCTGTGTAAATCGAATTTTTTTTTCTTTAATTTTTGGCCATTTTGTTGATTTTTGCTAATTTCGGTGATTTTTGTCATTTTTTGTTGATTTTGTTCATTTTAGATTTTAGTTAGGTTTTCCTTTAATTTTTGCTCATTTTAGTTGGTTTTTTGCTCAATGGGGCGGGGTCGGTAGGGTTGTGTCGTTGAGTTTGGCTCATTTTTGCGGTATTTTATCAATAACCATTTTTTTTTACAATTTTTGCTTTTGTTTACAAGTTTTTTTTTTCTTTGAATTTTTTTCAACTTTTTTTTTTGCTTTTTGGACGTTTCAGAGCATTTCCTGAGGGGGTTAGGTTAGGTTGAGATTTTTTTAAATTTTTTTTCAAGTTTTTTTGCATTTTTGGCCATTCTGTTGATTTTTGCTAATTTTGTTGATTTTTGCTCATTTTGTAGATTTTTGCTCATTTCGGGGATTTTTGTCAGTTTTTGTTGATATTAGTTACGTATTCCTCATTTATTTTATCAACATCATTTTTTTTTCAAGTTTTGTTACATTTTTTTTTGCGATGGGTTGGTTTTTAACATTTAAAGAGAAGTGAATGTTTTATGGGCACTGTACGCAAAATGTTTAACGCTTTATCAGTTAAATCTAGTTAACTGCACTACTACGGCGAAATCAAAAGGTCAGTACAGTACATATAATCTTTTTAAATATTGGCGTTAAGAAACCATTTAATACTTTTGTATTTTTGTATTGAGATACATTTAGTATTATTTTACAAGAAAGGCACTTTATTTTAAGGATTGTATGACATTTGATAACTGTCAAATAACTTAAAACTAACTTCAGCCCGTGACCTGTTGCTAACTAACTTCAGCCCGTGACCTGTTGCTAACTAACTTCAGCCCGTGACTAAAGCGCCAAAAAAACACAACTTGTCAATGTGTATTTAAAAAGTCACTTGGGCGTTGGTAGAAAAAAAATTACCGTTTCATACAATTTACATTCTCTTGTATAGGTGTGTAATTGGTTTGCGAATTGGCGTAGAAAACTCAAAAACGCAGGAAAAGAACCACAAAGAAAAACCTGGGGCGACCTAATAAAAACCTACAACAGCCAGGTCCAAGGCAACGTGGAGCACTTCAGCATCTGTTCCGAGGACAGTATCTGGGAGGAACCTGAGGATTCGTACGAAGAAGACTACGATTACAAATTCAACGAGGATCAACCCAACGAATCTAACGACCCCGAAGACCATAGATACTATAGCAACAACAACAACCAAGATGTGCAGAATCAGTGCTACTACGTCAGTTCCACGACTGAAATAGAATCGGAATCGCACCCATTCGTCCAAACGAACAACAAATACAAAAGCCACATAATGGAGAAATATTTAAGAGACTGCCAAAAACCGGAATTCGCCAAAAACGAAGACAAGCCTTCCATGATTTCCAAATGGTTGGAGAGTGCGGTGAATTTCAAACCCAGCGAGAACAGTTATTTGGATTGGTCGGTGCCTCAGAAACAGAAAAGGAAAATCAAGAAAAATTTGCCTCAGGAAAATTCGGATGCGTGGCTGATACATGGTAAGGAGGAGCTGGACGCAGCCGAAGCTTTGACCACTTTGGCCAACGCTCGATATAAATGAGTTATGCAGATATATTTTTATTAATAGTCATCAAATGTTAAGAGCATTACTTCTTTTATACAATGTGATGTGGATGAAACGGAAAAAAACATTGGAAAGTGAAAGAGTCGGAAAGCGAGACACGGATGCGGAGTTTGGAGTTCTAGTAGTGCACAAATCGCATAATCGGTAGTTTTTTTATTTTCTTATCCCACATCACTTATACTTATTACTACTATTTAGTTAAGGTATATTTTTAAAAACCAGAAGGTTAAAAACTATTTTGCCCATATTGTTATAATATTATTGACTAATAGCCACTTATAATTTGTGCATTTAAGTAGTTTTATTTATTTATTATTATTATTATTAAAAATATTACATCAAGTTTTTTGAAACGTCAGTAAAATGACACTTTTTCGAAATTTCACAGAATTTTTAAGTTTTACTTCATTGTCCTAGAGCAATTTACTTTAACTGCCGCTCAAAGATAATTCAAAAAATCATTCAGACGGTTCTAACCTCACATTCTCCCAATTTTAAAGATTACAGTCGGCCCTCGTATACTGTCATAAAATCTGACAGCTGTCAGACGTTTCTAACCCAACTTTTTCAATTCGATTGTATTCGACGTTTGAAAAAAAAATGCGGCTCGTCTGTATTTGCCAGAGTCGCAACAAAGTGTCAATTTAGCTCCTTATAAAATGGGCTAATAATTATATATTTTTTAAAATACTTAAACATTTATTATAAATTTACAGCATAGGTTCTTAAAACAATGGAGTTGGGACATTTGAAATCTATGCAATACGAGTTTGTTTTGTTATTAATTTTTTTTACAATGTTTCTCAAAAAATTTTAAATAAGATACAGCGTTTTGAAAACCGCGAGATTCAAAACTTTTTGATGACCTTGAAGATAAATCGTGACGTCACTATGTTATAACAGATGCGTCAAGAATTACGAATAAATCCAACATCTGTTTCTAGGTTGTGTATTTTAAACAAAACCTAGAAACCATGCTAGAAAGACTTTAAAGTATTTAAATCGTTTGAAAATCGAAGAAAAGTGCAAATTTTAAATTTTAAAAATAATTTATAACCGTCAAAGAAATTTGTTATGTCCGGAATTTTTATTTTTGCATAGGTATTATACCTATGGCTAATCTCTAGACAGAAGTACTTTCACACTAATTTTTTACATCAAGTCCCAACCCCATTAAAGATATGAATTGATGGTTTGCATGTATTCCACAAATTTTCTCTGCCGTTCTCTGACAAAAGCAGAGAAAACTGCTGTTTTTTATAAAAAGTTAAAATGCTGTGATGTTTTTTAAACTAACACATCTTACTTTAAGTCATTAATTATGTTTTATTAGATTTTTAAGTTTGTTATGTAGATTATAGACTGATTTTTTAAGTTGTTGGTAAAGTTTCATTAATAAAGATTTTAAAAAACATACTTTTATTTGTTTATGCGTTGTCTTCATCTAAAAACTTTAAGATATCGTCTGCATTTGTAATGTTGAGTTTTAGATGAAGCCTAATGCAGTCACCAGGGTTGTGTCATTATATATATTTAGATAAATCATGTATACATAATACAAATATAAGTGGTCCAAGAACCGAGCCCTGTCCAAGTCCCAAACTTCTGATGATGTTTCATCTATTGTTGTACCTATAGGTATAGGTATACCCACAATCCACCCATTGTGGTTATTTTTATACAAAATTTCATAAAGATTGGTAAAGGCGTTTTAGAGTTAGAATTGTTTGACTTAAGTAATAATTATAATGCGTTAATTTTGATGGGCAGTGTATAATATGTATATATTGTATAGGTATACATACCTATACAATATATACATATTATACACTGCCCATCAAAATTAACGCATTATAATTATTACTTAAGTCAAACAATTCTAACTCTAAAACGCCTTTACCAATCTTTATGAAATTTTGTATAAAAATACTTCAACTTATATCTCAGTTTACGTGTTCGAGGGTTTTTCGAGAAAATATTTATTTAATAATAAATAGAAACGTTCTAAAAATAACTTTTAGGGATTTTTTTTTAAGTAAATAAGAAATATAATATTTTTGTTAGTATACCCTGAAAAGTTTGTACAAAACAACCGAACAGTAACGAAGATACAGCGCTTCAAAGTCGGTAAAAATTGACCCTTTTTTATTTTATTGCTGAAAAGTGGTCATTTTTGAGGACTTTGAAGCGCTGTATTTTCGATACTGTTCGTTTGATTTTTACAACATTTTCAGGGTATACTTACAAAAATACGGTCTTTCACATAATAGTTTTTATTTACTAAAAAAATTAAATAAAAGGGCTTTAAGGATATTTTTTCCGCAACCAGGGGGTAACTTTGCACACCCAGTTTTTAATTTTTATTTTTGAAACTCAGCCCTATGTAATATTATAACATAGTTATTATAAAAGAGCAACTCAAGACTCAAATTTTGGTATACAAAATTAAATGTTTATGATTGTTAAAACCACAAATTTTTAAGCTTAAGTTTGAAAGTGAGCTAAAGCCACCCGTGTTTACGGTATATGTCAAAATTTATGAACAATTTTTTAAACAAAAACTCCATTAATTTGAAGGTATGTAATAATTAATAATTGATATTTCGTAAACTACATAACTTGTTTGGTATTGTTTTTTTTTAAAATGTATGTTAAAACTTGTAAATAACACCATAAAATCGTAAACAAAAATCCAATATGGAGGCTAAAATTTAATCGAAAGTAATATCATAAGGGCATATAATTTTTCAGAAAAAAATCGAAAAAACACGTTGCTAAGTAATATTTTAACAAGAAGCATGAGTTCTGGTGGCAACAAAAATCCGAGTCGAGAACGAGGATTTTTGCACCTGCACGAATGCATTTTGTTAAAAAATATTACTTAGCATTGTGTTTTTCACAGGAAAAATTAGATGCCCAAATAGTATTTGACAAGACTATTTCATGAGTAACAGTTATTCTGCATACACATAGCTTACAAAACTACCTACCTATTATACATGCATGTATGCATATGCATTATGTATACATAATAAATATGTAGGTATTAATGAAAATGAAAAATAGGTAATTTATTTAATCACAAAATACTACAAACTTAATTATTTATGGTACAATTAAAATATAAATTCCAATTTTTGCCGCGGGTAAACTCAAAAAACTGCTGACAGGTGCTGTCGCACAGTTTTTCCATCTAGAAACCATTTGTAATTCAAAATTGCGCGTTTGTGATTGGTGGAAATTAAGACGAGGTAAATAGTCATTCAGGCCAATTCACTAAAATGAGTCGTTAACGTTAACTACTAGAATCAGTGGTTATCGGGCAATCCGGCAAATCGGGCGGTTTAAATATAACGATAACCACTCATTCTAGTGGCTACAACTTATGTTAGTGAATTGGCCTGATTGTAAAAAACCTCCTTCAAACTACAGGAAATAAGTTTTTTTTACACTGAAAAAAAAAACGGATTTTGAGATATACGATTATATGTACCTACGCAAGGAGGTATTGTAGCAGTTCTTTGCATTTAAATGTCGAAAATGAATAAATTTCATAGGTTAATTTACTATTTTTTAGTCATCTTCAGTTTGTTTTGTTTAATTATATAGGTATGTAAATGCGCCCTGTTATGCTTGACCGTGATTACACACAAAAATTACATTTCACGTCTTATAAATAAACATTAATTTAATATTTATTTTTGTTGTATTTGACAATTATTAGGTGTTGTAAGGCTGTTTTATTTAATAAAAAGTGGTGTACGATTTTTACAGCTTAAATACGATGATTTTTTTGTTGAGTGTCCTCTAGTTGCCACAGAAAACCTGTGTCCAGAGTAATTTTTTTTATATTAAAAAACCTTTCTTTTTTATGTAATACCTACGTCAAAAAATGTTTACAATATTTTAAAAACTTAAATAAAACACCTTTTTGCACTCATTTTAAAAGTTATATCAGGTGTTAAATCATCTCATTGTCATGAGGTTGATAAAAATAAAGGCAAAAAATATTGTGTTTTTACCAATATATTCAGTATAAAAATTTAATCTTCAGAACTAATCTTTGGCAAATCTTCTTGTTGTCCCCATAATTTAACGGTATAAACAGATGCAGTTAGCAGTATATCTTTTTTGGGATGAATACTGAGCGAATTTAAAACTTTGCAAGGATTGTGAACAAACTTGTTGACAACTTTTGCACTTACTAAATCCCAACACCACAAATCGCCTGTTATTGAGCCTGAGAACACAAAATTATCATTTGTTATCACTCCACTTTCAACACTCATGTCTTTCGTTTGATGACCATGATACCTGAAAAAATATGTTGTTAATTAGTAAATATTAGGGTTAATTTGTAATATCTTACTCTCCAAGCATTTCTCCGGAATTTTTATCCAGTAACCTAACAGTATTATCCGAAGAACCTACTAAAATACACTGCCCATCATGAGTGAAGCTCACAGACGTTATCGCAGCACCTACAAAGTCTGCCTGACAGGATGCATTCCTTAAATCATATCGCCTCACAGAACAATCAACTGACCCAGTTAAAATCTCGAAATCGGTCACTTGCAACGACGTAACGCAATCTTTTGCTTCTTTTAATACTTGGATTGGTGTTTGTGATCTTGATCTCACATCCCAGCACATAACTGTATTGTCCAAACTACCCGATATGGCAACTGTGGATTCCTCATTGTATTTTACACAAGTTACCGAGGCTGCGTGTCCTCGTAATCGACGTAAAGGCTGTCCTGTCGATACATCCCATGTAATAATTGATTTATCAGCTGAACAAGACACAATTTGACTGCTATCACATGATCCACAAGCATCCAATACCTCATTTCCATGCCCGCCGTAAGTTTTTAGTAGGAGGGATTTGTAGGGATTCCATAGTTTTAGTTTTTTGTCCGAACCACAGGTTAAGCAATAGGAACCATCAACTAAAGTTATGGTTATGTTTTTAAACGATTTTGTATGTATTTTAAATGTTTACCATTAAACCTAACCGCCCTCACAGCCCCTTGATTACAGTCTATAGTATTTAAACACTCTAAATGCATTTTAAAACGGGTTGTTTACAAATTTTGACAACTTTAATATTATGAGGTTATGTTGTATAATTGTGTACGTCAGTGTTGCCAATTGCAACTTGCCATGGCACAGAACCGTACTTAATTTATTTGCATTCCACAGAGGCGTATTAAAAGTAATTTTCAAATAAAATTATATTTTATTAAAAGTATAAAACACGCTTAGGATTTAATAACACACACTGTTAAATAAATTGTTATACAAACTACACTACTTTATAAGTTATTTTTTAACGTCCCTTGTGACGTGTTTGTCGCACTGACATTTCATTTTGTTTTTCCAAACGCTATTCGTTTGTCTTACTTGGGCTGCTAGATTTTCCACCTTGGCCGTCCAGCTGTCTTCTTCAGATTCATATTCGGAATCACACTAAAATATATTTTTTTAATTTTTGTGAAATATTTTTTTTGTTAGTGTTACTTGGTAGTTTGTCGAGTACCATTCGGTTTCTATAGAGGGACTCTGCAAGTCTCTTTCATCAAAACAAGAGGCAGTTCCTTGAGAGCCTAAACTCCATGGAGATTGAGGAGGGGGAGGTCTATGCATTTGGGGGGGCATTTGGGGGGTTAGGATTCTTTCCATTTTTCTTAAAGAAGGTCTCTTCTCCATGCTTTGTGAGCACCTAAAAATATTGTCATGATATATAGATAATTTCAACAAAAACATTTGAGGACCCTGATGCAAGAAGAGGGGATAAAACTAATAAAACTAATCAACAGCTTTGTTTATTCAGCTTTTATGATACTGAAATTTAGATAATATAGCATCTTTCCATCTCAAATCGACCAGGCAAAATCGATGAGACCTGTATTTTTTCTATTTGCTTAAATTTGTTTTGTTCACCCGTAGATTTTTTTCTTCAAAATGCGATAACTTGGCCAAAAATGTTTCGATCGTTACAATTTTTTTTTAAATTGTTGGAAAATCTTCACTACCTACAAAAAAAAAGTGAATTCACTAATTTTTTTTAATTGTTTTTTCAAAATTTTGACATTGCCTCATTTTTTTTACTTCATATTTTTTTCGTTTGAAGTTGATAATATGAACAACTTTCACCAAAAGTCCCGAGTTGGCTAAATTCGTCGTTTCGAAATTATTTCCAGAAAACTTGGCCCAACATGAAGCAGAAAAGCCAATTCAAAGAACTCTAGATATGGAAATAAAATTTAATTACAAAATGATTTGACCTGTCAAAATTGAATAATGTCATACATATGTATGTATTCAGAATTTTATTTTGAATCGAAATATGTAAAAATGCATAGGGTGTTTTATTTAAAAATAATAAGTTAAGACCATTTCCGGTAAAACCGGAAGTGACAAAAATATGTTAAGTATGTAAAAAAGTTCTAAATTACACTTTATAAAGGTCAAATTATTGCGGCGAACCACTAATTTACAAGAAAATCGCGTTTTCGTTAAAATTAATTTAGCCAACTTGGTAAAATTTGTTTATATTATCAACTTCAAACCAAAAATATATGAAGTAAAAAAAATGTGGCATCGTCAAAATTATGACATCAATTTTTTTTGTCCCCTTTAGAAAAAACAATTTAAACACAAATTGAGTGAATTTACTTAATTTTTCTATATATTTTTTATATGTAGTAAACATTTGCCTACAATTTAAAACAACAATAGTAACAATTTTGTTATGTTAAGTTATCGAATTTTTTTAAAAAAGTCACTCGTGAAAAGAGAATAATCGATGTTTCTGGAAATTTTTCAAAAATCTCCTACTGGCGAACAAAACAAATTTAAGCAAAAGGAAAAAAATACAGGTCTCATCGATTTAGGTAAACAAACCGTAAAAAAAAATCGATAAAAAATAACGAACTACCCATTTTTGCCAGGTTGATTTGAGATGGTAAGGCCCTATATAAAAGGACAAACCACTAAAACATGCAAAAAAAACATGCAGCACCAAACAACTGTTTAACAACATACTCTGTCTCCTGCAATTTCTCGATGATCTCACAATAATTTCGCTCTTTCCTACCTACGAAATCGTTTATTTTACGCTGTTCTTCGAGCCACGCCTTAACATAACTAACAACATTTTTACTCTCGTACGAGATCTCGTCGCGATTTGTTTTTAGAACGTCTATTTCCGCTTCAAGATTTTTAACAGAATCAGCGGTATACCTTTGCTGTTTTGTGATCTGCGCATAGGAGCCCTGCAAGGTGCGCAGCTCGTTTAACACTTCCACTTTTTTTCTCATCAAGTCGTCCTTCTCTTTTTGTATCGTGGACAGTTCTTGAAGGTATTGTTCCAGTTGGTTTTTGAGCAGGTTGTTTTGCTCTTGTAGACTTGTTACCGTCGCTTGAAGGCAGTTAACTTGCTGGGTCAGTTGTTCATTCTAAAATAAATATGTTAAGGTAGTATAACCATTTGTAGAGTTGATAAATAAATAACAGTAGGCCTTGACTTTTACCTACCTCTACATTCAGTTGTGATTGCTTCTTCATTACTCTACCAATCTCATTTTTCAACAGAACTATTTCATCTTGAGCACAAGCTAATTGTATACATCTGGAGCTGTTTATTTCCTTTACGCTCTTTTTAACTTCTGCCAATTTGTGATTCCTGCAGTCTAATTCTTGCTTGAGGTGCATTATTTCACCGTCCAGTTTTCTATTCAACTCTTTGTATTTCTCTTCGCCACATTGGTACACCTGCAATCGTTCAGTTAACTTGTTTCTAAGCTCGTTTAGTTCCTTATCCTTCCGTTGACAAGTTTGCTGCATGTCTTCGATCTTTTGCTTGTTGTAAATCTCTGACGTTTTTAATTTAGCTTGACATTCTGTAAGCTTCTTTTTTAACTCAACAACCTAGAAAAAGTTTCAAGTAATTTAATAAATAAGTAATAAACTCAACTCACATTTGATCCCAAAGTTTCGACAACATTTTTATAAAATTCTACTTCGCATGGGCACGGTATGTCCGGGTCATCGCACTCCTCACAAGGCATTTCAATAACAGGTTGAAGTTCCCTGGAACACGTCGATTGCTGTTCATCACTACACTTACACATCTCCTTAACTCCCAAACCCCTATTCAGCTCGTCCAGCTGAAACATCTAAAATATTTTCAAAAAAACTATAAGTATTTGATCATTCTAAATTCATGCTCACCGTATGCCTCAAATCCTTTATTATCTTCCTATACCTGTTTATTTCTTGCTCCTTCTTGAACAAAACTTCCCCTTGTACTTTACTATTTGATATCTCCATCGCCATTTTGTTGTTGCACTCGGCAAAGCTCGTCAGTTCCGTGTTTAAATCCTTAATCGTAGCTTGCAACTTGCAAATCTCCTCGTCCTTTGTTTGAACCACGTCAGCCTTTTGCTTTAGTTCGGCCATGATTTTTTGCATGCTGCATATCAAGTCCTCCTTGGCTCGCACTTCGTCCAGTTTGCATTGAAGTTCCTTGATGACGCGTTGCTGTTCCGCAATCTCATCTTGGTTTTCACACCAGGTTTGGGATTCTTTCTGCAAGCATTCGATTGTATGTTGTTTTTCGCATAGTTCTTCTGTTGCTTTTGCGAGTTTAGCGTTGACTTGATTTAAAGTACATTGAAGTTCGGCGATTTCTTCTTTATAAGTTTTTATAGTGGTTTTCATGTCGTCGATGGTGTTTTTGGAAATGCCGGTGCCGGTACACAAAGACAGTTGTTTATTTGACATATCTTTCTTAGTTTTTTCTAATTCGTCTATGGTATCTATTAGTTTGTTGTTCATATTTTGAAGGCATCTCTGGAGATGAATATTCGTTTCAATGGTTTTGTCTTTAATTATTTTCTGAGTTTCGTCGATGAACGATTCAGATTCTTGTACTGATATGTTACTTAGTTTAACTGGTGGTTTATTGTACTGACAATTTGGTTTGCAGGATGGATCATCATCGAAAGAAACCAGCTTGGTTTTATGATTTTTGTTAGAAACACATTCTTCCTTTTTATCTTTTAGAGGTCTCACTAAAGCTATTTGAAGTTCCTTCCTTAAATCATTAAGACATTCTTTTAATCTTTGCAGCTGGTTATCTTTTTGTTCTATTATTCGTTGCAATTCGCAATTTTTCTGATCACAGTTGTTTCGTAACTCATATAGTTCAATATCTTTATCTTTTATTGATTTCTTCAGTTCTTCAAGGTCTTCTTCACATCTTGGTGTTGTTTGAGTATTTACTTCTTCTAGACATTTCAAAGTTAACTCGTCTTCAGAATCGTTCAATTTAAATCTGTCATCATAAGATGAACAATACCCACTGCTTTCTTCTTTAGCTTTGCATGGTGATAAAGATATAGTGGTCTTACTTTTTTCTAGTTCGTCTGTTAACTGCTGGTGTTTTTCGTATAGCTTGTGAAAATAGTCTTGTAGTGCGTCGTAGTTACATTTCATTTTATCCAAATCGCATTTGGTGGTTTCCAGTTCGGAAACTGTGAGTTGATGGTTATCATATAGTTCTTTAAAGCATTTTTCCATTTTGGACAGCTTAAAATCTCTACTTTGTATTAGAGAGTTAGCCCTTTCTAAATCATCAGTTGCTGCTTGGTGATCTAAGCACAGTTGATGGCAACATTCCTGACATTTTTTCAACTCGCACTCTTTATCGCCTATTATTTTCTTTAACTCCAACAAGTTCTTGGTGCATTTCCCTACCTGCTCTCTACAATTTTGTGTGCAAACCTTGCTCTGGCTATTTTCATGCTCATTCTTTTTAGCCGTCAACGACAAATCCGATATACTTTCGTTCAAACTGCGTATGGTGCCTTTCAACTCCTGATTTTGATCGAACATCACCTGCAGGTTGGATTTGATCACCTTGGTGATCTCCTGATAGTGCGAGTTGCACATGTCTTGACTGCTGACGATTTTCTGCAAGTCCTGAATTTTGCTTTCATTTATTTGGTTCATTTGGTTTTCCAAACGCATCTGCTGCTCCACTGCAACCAGTTTGCAGTTCAGTTTTTTGTTTGTTTCTTTTACATCGTTCAAGGAGTGTTGGAGCTTGTTGTTTTCTGATTCGGCTGTTTCAGTGCTGGCGGTCTAAAATATGTATCTTGATGATGAAATAGTGAAACTACTCGGTCATAAGTTTTTTAGTCCAAATGCAGGTATTCTCTAAATGATTGAGCATTTTTATTAGGGACAAAACTTATGGCCGAATAGATAATAAAGAAGGTTTTACCAAGAGGGATTGTAATGATAATAATTGTTCAGACATGAGTCTCATCTCTTTCTTAAAATATTCAACCACTTTTTCGTAGTGATCTTTTTGCAATATAAGGCTGTCGATATAGGTTCTAAATGTGGAATTTTCTTTCTAAAATGTTATCAATTTTGCATTATTTTTTTTATTAGTTATTTTTTATATTAGTTATTTTTTAAGAACAATACAAGCAGCAAGCAATTTTAGCGAATTTTTACCTTATTTTCTACTAATATGTCATGATACTTATGTAATTGAATTTCCATTTCTTCAATGTCTTGTAATGTCTGACAGTGTTCAGTTTCTAGTTCAAGATTAAGTTCTTGTAAGTTACTATAGTTCTCTATTATTTCTTCATACTACAATAGCAAATATGTAATTTTAAATAGATATTTTTTTAAATGGTTTACCTGTTTATTTATTATACTTTTCTGTTCTTCAGTGTTCACCAAAAATCCATACAAAATATTAAATATGGATTTTTGTTCCTGAATCTAAAATGTTTCTAAATTAGTTTCATGCCTTGCACATTTTTAAAAACTTACATTGCTGCAGCAATGATGCCAAATTTATCATGCTGGGACGGGGCATAAAATAATAACTATTGTTATATAAAATGTTTATTAATCAAAAATATGGCAATAAAATCAAAAAATAAATTAAATAAGTTAAGTTAATACATGCCCAACACTGGTTAGTTACACGAGAGTCCCTATATATTTATGAGCATTTTTGTTGTGGAAAAGTCAGAACCTTCAACACAAAAAATAAGTACTAGAGGTGCCAATCCCGAGCCCTTTTTCCAATCCCGGGACTTACGGGATCAGTCCCGAAAAAATATATATCCTTTATTTTAAAACCAATTTAAAATAAAGGAACAAACAAACTAACGAACGATTACTTTTGGATTTCGCACACTAGTTGAAGCCTTCAATTACGCGTTACGTTATCCTTGGCCGTTAATTCGTAAGCGATTTTTAATTGTTAAAAATCTGTGGTTTCCCCTTCGATTCCTCCCAATATTTCATAACTAAAGTGTACTCGGTACTTTGTACTCAAATGGGTACTCGAGTAATACGGTTCTGTACTTGTACTTGGTACTCGATTACTTTTATGTAAGAGTACTTGTATTTAGTTCTCGACTACTTTTTCATTGTACTCGGAACAGCTCTGATCATGAACATGAATTTATTCTACAGTGACCTGTAGTTTAATAATAATAATAATAAGTCTTTATTTATTATTGACCCCAAAATTCAGTTTTAAAAACTTTGCTGATTTTATGCTCGATAGATGGAACCACTCTTGCTATGTAATCTCAATGTAAAAATTATATTCTATTCTTTGCAACTTATTACTACGATCCCGGGATTGGGATTTTTGATCCCATTCTTGAAGAGAAATTCGGAGCGCTATACACTAAAAAAAGCTATGATATTGTTAGCAGAGCAAATAACGCGTTGTCCTGTGGAATCTTCGGACAGTAAATTTTTACTGGAGAAAATCGTAGTAATTTTTGGAAGTTGCCCCCGCGAGGAATTTATTACCTTGACAATTGATAACATTGAAGACATTAGATGTTTTATAATTGTAAAAAAATAGGAGTTCCAGTATGTTAGCGGAAAACGGTGGAGATCTCCATACCTTAAAACAGTTTGGGGGCTGGAAATCTTAAGCAGCTGTTGAACAGTATGTTAAACAATCAATTAACAAGAAACTTAAAATTTCGAAACAGCTGTTCAAATCAACGAACAATAATTCTTTAACATCATCCTCAAGTAAAAGCGTAGAAAGAAAAATATCAGAAACTGTCGATGAAAAACACCACAACCAATATATTGTCCTTTCTAATATCAACAACTGTGTAACTAACACAGACTGTGGTAACTAACTTCAACACTTGTTCTCATTGTACCTTAATAATGTTATATTATGCGTATTCTGTTGTAAAATAAAATTGTTAATAATTTTTTACTGAAAAATGTGTATCAATCCTAGGCAAATATAATTATCAACACAGGGTCCGATATAGGTGCCATTTCGTTGAAGAAGATAGTACTGTTATGACTAGGGATGGGATATTTAGGTACTAAAAACTGAAAAATAGGTAACTAAAAAGGTAATAAAAAAAAGCATTTTAGGTTAAAAAAACAGCATTTTAGGTAAAAAAAAATTAAAAGTTTAAGTTTCGTTTATAATTTTGTTTAGCCGCATACCCAAACACAGAACATACCCACAATAAACTATTTATATGCAATAAACTGTGTTTTACTGAGTGACACTCACTACACAGAAGTTCTATGACAGAACTCACTAGTAGTGAGCCACTACAAAGAAGGTAACTGTAAAGAAAGTTATAACAGTATACTGTTACAGTCTGTAACCATAAGAAAATATTCTATACCGTTGAGTTGCACGCCCTGGATAAAATATTGGCGCAAATTTTAAAAAGAACAAAAAAAATAAAATAAGTAAAAATACGTAAAAATAGGCAACAAATATATGAAAATAAACTGACAAATTAAAAAATATGTAACAAAAGTATAAAAAGGTAGTTTAAAGCAAAAACCTCCAAAAAAGGTAAAAAAGGTGAAAAAAAGTTAAAAAAATAGGTAACAAAAGTATAAAAAAGGTAGTTAAAAGCAAAAACCTCCAAAAAAGGTAAAAAAGGTGAAAACAAGTTAGGTTCATATAAAAGAAAATCTTTTAAAACACATTTTGGCATTATTGGTTTTCAAATAGTTACATCGGTTAAAAAAAGGTAAAATAACTAAAATCCCATCCCTAGTTATGACACTGATAACATATAGGTATTATAAAAATATATATAGGGACTCTTCTCTACCCTACACAAAAAATACTTAAAAGTTAGTAGGTACAAATTGTTTTAGTCTTAGTCTACAGGTAACAAACGGTAATATAAAAAATTTTAAATTTAAACATCATGCACAGATTTGTTGGGTGGTTTTTGCTCTGTACTGCTGCCAAACCATCGAGCCGCCCACCCTAAACTTACGCTGTCGTCTGATTTTTGTTTTAATTCTTCCAGGTTGTTTTTAGAACTGACCAGGGCGTCTTGTAGGTTTGCAATGGTAACTTTTTGCTGGTCAATCTAAGGTATATTGTTTTTTTAAATAAAATGTATTTTTTGCTGTGTATGTTTTACCTCTAATCTATATTTTTCCTCAGTAGCCTCCAGGACATTAATGGAGTTAAGATGTATGTCCACCTATATGCAAGAAAAATTGTACAGCAAAAGCAACAAAAACAGCTAGAATTAAAGCCTCAAATGTAAATAAAACTTACTGCCAATTGTAAATTCGTCCCTCGTTCCTGTGAATTTTGCAGCTCACTTTGTAACTCTCGAATCCTATTTTTTAAGTCGTTGCATTCCTTAACTCTACAATCATTTCCTTTCTGTAAACTGTATATTTCGTGCTCCATTTCTTTGATTTTATTCGCCAAATCCAAACAATTCTTTCTATTGCATATATGGTCTGCATTTTGCTCCATCTCCAACTCCATCACCTTATTCCTCAATTGTGCACACTCAATAATACTGCTTTCTTTTTCCTTCAACTCGCACTCTTGTTGTCTTATTTTGTTTTTCAATTCCAGGCATTCTCTAATTTTGCAATCTTTCTCGGCGCGCAGCTGACGAAGAGAGTCCAACTCTTGCTCCAACTCAAATATTCTGCCCTTTAGAACCGAAAACTCTTTGGACCTGCACAAACTCTCGCACGACACTTCTTTGGATAGCTGTAGGTTACTTTCAAGTTGTTTTATTTTGATTCTCATTTCGGAACACTCCCTCGTTCTGCATTCCTTCGTCTTCTTCAGTTCTTCCTGATTTTCCAACTCCGTTTCCAGCTGCCAAATTCTGTTCTTCAATTGCGCACATTCATTCAGTTTGCACTCATTGGCTTTTATTGTTTCCCTGGCGTTTTGCAACTCGTATTCGATTTGGCGAAGTTTGTTTTTCATATCTGCATATTCCTTGACTTTGCAGTCGCGTTCTTTGATTAGGTCTTGTTGGTTTTGTAACTGAGATTCCAACTCCCATACTTTGGTTCTCAATTGATTGCACTCGTTGGTTTTGCACTCGTTTGCCGAAATTATTCCTTGCGATGTTTCGTACTCGCACTCCAACTTAAACAACTTGTTTTTTAATTCGTTGCATTCCTTTGATAGGCAATCCTTGTCTTTGCGGAGTTGTTCCGTGTTTTCCAGCTCGCATTGCAACTCCCAGATTTTGTTCTTCAAGTCGGAACACTCCTTCAGTTTGCACTCGTTACCTTCCAATAGTTGTGTAGAGTTTTGCAATTCCAATTCTAAGTGATGTATTCTTTGCCTTAATTGGCAACATTCTCGTTCAGACTGCTCTTTCTCCTTCATTTGTTCCTTCGTGCAATCCAACTCGTATTGCATCTCCCATATTTTGTTTCTTAAATCGTTTACCTCCTTAATTTTTAATTCTCTATCGGTGAGGAGATCTTGTGCTGTTATCAGCTCTTGGTCCATTTGTTTTATTCTATTTCTTAATTGGTGACACTCCTGGACGCTGCATTCTTTCTGTTTCAAGACTTCTTTTTGGTTTTCTATCTCGCACTGCGACTCCCAAATACACCTCTTCAACTCCAAACACTCCTTCACTTTGCAATCCCTTTCGCTGCGGATATCTTGGAGATTTAAGTTGTCGATCTCCAACTCCCGTATTTTTATTTTATACTCCAGACATTCCTTCCCTTTGCACGCGTTCTCCTTCAATATATTTTCAGAACTCTGCATTTGGCACTCTAATTCTTTTATTCGGTTCTTTAAATTCGTTATTTCCTTTTGACTGCAATCTTTTTCGTGCGCAAACCTATCAGTGGTTTGTATTTTGGTCTGCAGTTCTTCAATAATTTTCTTCAGCTCACAAGTCTCCTTCTCCTTGCACTCTTTTTCGCGCGATAATTCCACCCTCAACTGCTCTATCTTTTGTCTGATTTCTGCGCACTCATTTATTTGACATTCGTTTTTGTTTTGCGAATTTTCCAGTTCGCATTCCATCTCCTGAATTTTAAGTTTAAGGTCGTTACACTCTTTTTGGATGCAATCGTTTTGTTTCAGTAGTTGTTCCTGTCTTCTTTTTTCCGCCTATAAAATGAGGTTATTAGTGTTTGATACAGTAAGAAATGGGTTAAATTGTTACTAAATCCAAGTCAGAGCAGCTCGTCTCCATATTGAGCACGGATTTTTTTTGGATCAATGTTGGAGGTTCATTCTGTGAAAAAGTAAAATGTGCATTTATATCTAGGAAAAAGAACAGTTTATATAAAGGAAGAGGGAAGAGGGAGAACAGAGAGCAGCAGTTAAAAACGGATATGGAAAGTCATAAGAATTAAAGAAAACAAAGGAATGATGATCGAGGAAGTGTTCCTAAATGAGAATCAAAATAAAACAAATCGAAAGCAATCTACAGCTATCCAAAGAAGTATAGTTTGAGTGGGACAGAATGTAATAAGAAATATTCTAAAGTTAAGAGTTAAAAAATAAAATTAAGGATTGCGAATGAAGCAAAATGATATGATTATAAAATTAATGATTTTTTATTTATAAGGTAGAATCCTAAAATGTTCACAAAGAGAAAGAGAAAAATTGTAAAATGCATTTAAGAAGTTAAAAATAAGAGTCTTATTTTTTCAGTAAACAAAGTGGTAAACTGACAAGAAATTATTATAATTAAATGTATCTACTTCCAAGTTTTTTTGGGAAACGTTCGAAACGTTCGCAATTGCCTTACAAAGAAGTTTGGCGAAAAATTGATGAGGAGGTATGGTCCAATTTTTTGGCCTCCACGAAGTCCAGACTTAACTATTATAAATTATTTTTTATGGGGACGGTTAAAACAAATAGTTTATGCAGAACAGTAAGAAAATGATACATAACAGCTAAAAATTAATTAAGATTTATTAATGCTATTCGGTTGATCTTGATATAAGATATTCAAAGAAGTTATAACGAATTTAGATCCAGGGTTGAAATTTGTGCTGATTTGGGTGTTTAAGACAAGCAAAGTACATTTTTCTAAAAAATTCAAAAAAATCCATTCACTCTGGCTAAATGACACTTTTACGCACTAGTGTGTAAAAGTGACACTTAAGTTTAAAAATACAAATAAAATTTATTTATTGTAAATTAAAAATAAAATTTTCACGTCGCATCGCGTATATTTTGTATCAATTTTAATAAACGCCATATTATAATATTATAATATGGCGTTTATTAAACTTGATACAAAATATACGCGATGCGACGTGAAAATTTTATTTTTAATTTACAATAAATAAATTTTATTTGTATTTTTAAACTTAAGTGTCACTTTTACACACTAGTGCGTAAAAGTGTCATTTAGCCAGAGTGAATGGATTTTTTTGAATTTTTTAGAAAAATGTACTTTGCTTGTCTTAAACACCCAAATCTACTATAGTCACGAATTTAATTTAGGCACGAGCGAGCTTGCGAACGAGGGTGTCTCAAAAAGTTGCAAACTATACTTTTTCCACAACGAATTAAAAATGTGTATAGACCACAGACCTACAAACAAGGTATATATATATATATAAAGGTCTGTGGTATAGACACAATTTCTAAAATTAGAAAACTGTATTACCGGCACAACAGCCAAAATGTCAAATTTGTATGTGTAAATCGAAATTTATCCCTTAAAATGGACTAACAACCGTTTATATAATGATATAGAAGCAGTGAAAGTGAATGGAATGTTTATGGGCACTTTACGGTGGAGTCTCCACCCGAAACTTTTAATGCTTTTACTTAAATCTAGTTTACTGCCGGCAAAATCAAAAGGTCATTACAAAATTGTATATTTTAAGGATTTTATGATATTTGACAACTGTCAACTAACGTAAAACTAACTTTAACCCGTGACTAAAAATCGTTGCTAACTTCAGCCCGAGACTAAAACGCCATAAACCCACAACTTGTCAATGTGTATTTAAAAGGTCACTTAGTGTCATGGAAACATGTACGATAATGGGCGTTTTAAAGGTGGGAGTAGAAAAAATAATTATTGCATTAATAGCTATTTTAAACTTACATTATTTACTGTATCATCTGTCTGGGTTTCCTGACCAGCACTGTTTGAAGTGGATGTTGATATTGCCTTTTAATAAAATATATTTTAATAAACTATACATTAAACCAGGCTCGTTCGCAAGGGGGGTTCAAAAGATATTGTCGAAAAGGTCCACGAAAATATCATTTTCGTCATCTATGTCGAAAAAAAAATTTTTTTTTTCATATCTGATGTATTATTATTATTATTATTATTTTAATTATACCTATATAAGTTTAACAATTTAATGATGAAACCCCCAATGAAAAAATCCTGCGAACGGCCCTGCATTAAACAATTTTAAAAATAAACTTACTTTGCTTTTTGGACAATCCACTGGTACTTGGTCCAGCTACAAATAAATTAAAGTTATTAACGAAAGTCAAATTTATCACTTTTTGTGTAATTTAACCACTGTACAGTGTTATCATTTATATTTTAACTATAGTAAACTATTTCTTGAGGATGTTTTAATGCAATGGGTAAAGTGTAAGCATTTGCATTTTGTAGTTAACTAAAGTTATTTTGGGACAGACGGTAGGGCTTCCGCTCTTATAATAAAGCAGTACAGGGAGGAACGAAAATATATCAACTTTCAAACAAAGAACTTACGGAATCACCGAAAGAAACTTTGAGATTTTTGTTTTTTTTCTCGTAAATCTAAAAAATTCGAAATGTATTTTCCATGTATATCACTTTGCACTTACTTTGTTAAGGCTTGAATCGGAAAGCTTTTCTCTTAAGGTGCAAATTATTTTGTTTAATTGCTCTACGTCTCTTGTATAAGCCTAAACAACACAAAAAAACGAAAAATCAACATTGTTTATTTTTTTTGTTAGGTACCTTATCCTTTTCTTCTTGCAATTCTATGGCTCTTTCCAAATTATTTCGCACGTCAGTAATCGTAGCTTGAAGCACCTCCACCTCGTGATGGTTTATCTGTACAATTTTTTTACACTTATTTTGATATTAAAAAAAACTCGAGGAAGATCTTACTTTTGGCGAGCGAGTTTCACTTAACTGCCTTTCTAAGTAATGTATTTGATTTTGATATTTATCTTCCAGCAACTATAAAAATGTCAAAAAAAATTCCAATTAAGATACAGGGCTAATGGTAACGACAATAGAGATTCCAAAACTCAGAAGAAGTAAAAAACATCTTTATTTGGGGATGATAGTACACGCCAAAACAAGAAAGTTTTTTTGCATTAAAGCTACTGTTTTTTAATAAAAAAATTATGAAATTTTTTTGACATCCAAGGATCCACTAGATGTCACTGACCTATCTATTACATCTAAAAACAATGATATTATTCATCCAAGCAAAAAAAAACAGGATGAGATCAGCAATGATTCAGCTAATGAGCTCCAGGTGAGGTCCAGGTGATTTCACAGAAATGCATTTGATGTCATAGTGAGTTCACTGTGAGCTCACGCGATGATTATCACTGAGTGATTTTTTAATGAGTCATAAATGTTATCTGGGTTCTGAGAAGTAATTTTCAGACTTTCTGAGAAACTTTTTTTGTGAAATTCTATTTATTTATGATGTTCCTAACTAAGAATTTAAAAGCAAAATTAAAAAAATCCCACGGTTAGTTTATTTTAAATTTGGGTTTTATTAAGAATACTGTGCCGTATTTTAATTATCCACTTAAAACTTTCGATTTTATATACCTACATTGGCAAAACGTTTAAATTAGATTTAAAAAAATGTTTTCACAATTTTTTTATATCATTAACTCTTAAAGTATGCGTTTGTTTCCTTTATTAAAAATTTATTTAAGGATGCCATGAATTAACAATTTGTATGTAGACAAATTTTATTTAACATTTAAGTTTTTTAAACCAAAATAAACAATAATGATAGTTATGTATAAATTCTCAAAAAAAACCTAATAACTAATATCTTAACTTATTTTAATTAAAACAATTAAATTATAAATACAATGCATTATATTCTCTGATGGCAGCAACTAAATGTTTTGGATATTTTGGGTGTTCTTTATTCAACTTGTACCGGTACGGCTTAAGCTTAGTCTGAATGAACAGCTTCAAATGCCTGCTCTGAATAACTTCCTAACCCATTTTCGTGCTTTTGTAAAAATTCGGGAACATGATAAATAATGGCATGAATTTTTGGAGTTATCCTAGTTTGTAAATCAACAAAATTATTTATTTGGTCTAAATAGTTCTTATTTATAAACTTGAAAAACATTTTACAAATTTCAAACATTCCAGGGAAGAAAGGCTTCTAAGATAGTTAATATTTTTTAATAATTTAAGATTTTCATTGCCATTAAATAAAAGTTTAAGAGTTGTATAAGTAATATCCTTATCACATATTGTAAGAATATGGTTAATATTATAAAAAATTATAATTTATTTTTATGAAAATTATAATATAAATAAAATCGAAAGTTTTTAATAATAATAATAATTAAAATAGGGCACAATTTTCTTAATAAAAATCAAATTTAAAAAAAAAGTAAGCGTGGGATTTTTTAAATTTTGCTCTTAAATTCTTAGTTAGGTACCTACATCATAAATAAATAGAATTAAAAAAAAAGTTTCTCAAAAAGTCTGAAAATCACTTCTCAGAACAGCATGCACCGTGTATATCAAGCAAACTTTTAAACTTATTCAAAAGCGGCAGATGAAATCCGAAATCATGTGGATATGATAGCAAGCGCGACACATAATTTTCTACGCCGCTGTCAACTTTGTGTAGATTATAACGGCGGGATAGTTGAACATTTCTTATGATTTTGTGGAACACTTAAAAAAATAGCTACATGAGCATCAATCGACGTAAAAAAATGGCACTAATGCAAAAATGATAGAGGAAAAACTTTCTTATTTTGACGTGTACTATCACCCTCTTAAAGGATGACAACTTGTTTGGTGACACCTTGTATACAAAAATTATGTGAACAAGCCTTAACATTTTGACACGTCATTGTGTAATACTTACGTCCTTTTCATTTTCGACAAGCAACTGAGTTCGAGCAAATTCAATTTCAAGTTCTTTTATTTTATCTAAATAGGGTTCCGCACCAACCTAGAAAGATTTTAATAATATGCAAAATAAGTTGTTTTAACAAAATTGCAAAAATATATAAAAATTTCTTACAGGAACTTGTACAGGAACCAATGGATGTCTATGACACAACTCGTATTCCAAGTGAGCTACTTTTTCTCTATAAGAATCTTGAATTTCCAATAATTTAGTCTCATTAACCCTGCACAGTTCCAGCTCCTTTTCGAGCTCGGTTATTTTCGTAGTAAATTGATTTTCATGACCCTAAATTAAATTATTTAACTTGCAATAACAACGTTATTTACTCGGCAAAAGTCCTTCCACGATTTCAAAATGCTATATTTATGTAATTCCATCAACACTTTTAGATCTGGTCATCGTGGAGGCCCTAAATAGAATGCCAAATCCAGTGGCGGCTCGTGGAGGTATAGAAGGGTATGGCTACATGAGGACAATTTTGTCTAAATACGACTAAATTTCCACGTCACCCAGGAGGTATTATTCTGCGACGCGTTGAACTTTTTTAAAATTTCCGATAGCCCTAGGGCTACTAAACACAAAAACTCAAAAACATAAATTCACCATTCGATAGTCCATCGAAAAATAAGTCGACATGCATGGTAATTTTTTTCTCCAAAACCCCTCCTAAGGGAGATACAGCCCTTCAAAGTTGAGTTTTAAAAATTTTTTTTTTGCCATAACTTTCAGGAAATAAAAGTGTTTTTGACCAAATTTGGTACAAGTACTTATGAAATAGGTACTCGTTACCTGACGTAAGTAACTTTTGTCAAAATTGTCCAGTGACGTAGATACAGGGGGGTTGTTTCACTTTTTCCACCCCATTTTTTACGCCACTGGATATTGGTTTAAATTGACCTATTTTTCTAATTCCCTGTTCAATTTTGAGAAAAAAAGACACTCTTGTCAAATTTTGATTTAAGGCTTTGTTTACGAGATAATTGAGTTTAAAAAAAACATACAGTACTGCAAAGTTCAGTTTTAAATATCTTTTTTTTGTCATAACGCGTTTTTTACCAACTTTGATACATGTACTTAGTAAATAGATACTCGTTACTTGACCCAAGTAACTTTTGTAAAAATTGTCCATAGGCGTAGATACAGGGGTTGTTTTACTTTTTCTGCTCAGGATTTCACTGATGTGATTGTGTCACCAATAGGTTGTGTACATTCTTAAAGACCTTGCGATGTGGCTGTCGTTTATTGGGAAAACGCCTTTGATATTCTTGAACTGCTTGCAACGCGTTCCCATCACAAAATCCATAAATGAAGTGAATATCGGCGTATTCTTGGTTCGTGAATCGAAAAGGCATATTTATGATTACAGGATACTTGTATTAACTCTAAAATATCTTAACAGACTGTAAAAAATAATAGAAAACCTTTATTAACACTCTGACAGCTATTTCAGTTAACTGAAATAGCTGTCAGAGTGTTAACAATTGTTTAAGACTGACAGTTCATACTAGAGTGGGGCCGCCCTAATTTTATTGGATAAAGCGCATCAGGCCACTTGATAATTTTAAATAAAAATACGTCAAGTGTTGATTACCTATTTCAAATACCTATACCAAATTTAATCAAATATTCTTAAACGATATGAGAGTTATAACAAAAATATAAATCTTAAAATTGAATTTTGAAGGGCTTTAGGGGAAGTTTTGAAGAAAATAAAACAATGCATGTCGAGTTATTTTTCAGTGAAATCCTGGGCGGAAAAAGTGAAACAACCCCTGTATGTACGCCAATGGACAATTTTGACAAAAGTTGGGTCAAGTAACGAGTATCTACTTCATAAGTACTTGTATCAAAGTTGGTGAAAAACGCTTTAGCGATCTTAGAGTTAGAGTTATGACAAAAAAAAGATATTTAAAACTGAACTTTGCAGGACTGTATGTTTTTTTTTAAACTCAATTATCTCGTAAACAAAGCCTTAAATAAAAATTTGACAAGAGTGGCATTTTTTCTCAACATTGAACAAGGAATTAGAAAAATAGGTCAATTTAAACCAATATCCAGTGGCGTAAAAAATGGGGTGGAAAAAGTGAAACAACTCCCCTGTATCTACGTCACTGGACAATTTTGACAAAAGTTACTTACGTCAGGTAACAAGTACCTATTTCATAAGTACTTATACCAAATTTGGTCAAAAACGCTTTTATTTCTTGAGAGTTATGACAAAAAAAAAGATTTTTAAAACTCAACTTTGAAGGGCTGTATCTCCCTTAGGAGGGGTTTTGGAGAAAAAAATTACCATACATGTCGACTTATTTTTCGATGGACTATCGAATGGT